CTCTCCCCCCCCAAAAAAACACATACACACACGCCGCCCCTGCGGGGTGATGATGTTGATGTGGCCCTCCCCCAACTCGGACTGGATCCGGATCTCCCGGAAGATGGCCTGAACCATCTTGGTGTGCTGGGGTGAGTTTGACCATCTTGACCGCCCATAAGGCCCCCGTGGATAAGTCCTGAGTCAGCCACGTCTTGCCCTCACAGCCTGTCAGCAGCAACAGCAGCAGCAGCAGTTTTAGCAGTAGCAGTAGCAGCATAAATACACAGCTGCGTGTGTGCGCAAGCTGTGGTTTTCACATTTGGGCATTTGGGCGATGTTCCAAACTGACGGAATTCGAAGGCAGACAGACTTACGTGCAAACAGACAGACAGACAGGCAGACGGTGAGGTAGCAGCCAACCAGCGCCACCCCCACCTACACACGCACACACATGCACCGGGTGCTGCAAACAGCTACAGCCCCAACAGGACGGGCCTCGCTCTCCCACATAACCCCCCGGGGTGCCCCCCGGGGCAGCCGTGAAACAAAACCCCCACCCCAACCCCCCGACCCCGGGGCATTGACACCGGGAAAAGCACATACATACATGCATACATACATGCATACATACATACACAGCAAACATGGGGTTGGTGTAGGCGGTAGGTGTATGCCCTGACTAACTGTCTTGGACTGCCTCCCCCTCCCCCTCCCCCTGCCCCCTCCCCCTGCCCCCTCCCCTCCGCCTCCACTTGTATATGCCGCCTAGCAGCTAGCGCTGAGCGGGGCCGCAGTTACACCTCCGCGAATTCCATCTTCCCCTCGTATCTCTGATTCCCCTCCAAAACACACGAGACCCCTCTTCCCCCGGGGGCTCCTGGAATCCACCCCAGGCACCACCTTAGCCAACCGTTCCAACCGCCATTCGTTTTAATCCCTTCCAACGACCCTCCAACCACCCACCAGATCCCAGCACTGTCTTGACTTGGTAGATGGACGCAAGGCCCTCGATAACGGAACGGTTTGAAGTCCGAAAACTGCGTTTGGCGAGGCTCATGTGCTGGGAATGTACGGAAGCGTCTGCGTAGGTGGCGGCTGCGGCAGCAGCGTTGCTGCTAGCGGTGGTGCCCTGCTGCCCGCTACTGCCGCCGCCTCCCTGGACCGCCGACCCGACGCCGGTGGCAAAATCCATGCCGTCTGGCGGCTTGGAGACGCACTGCCCCATGGCGCTACCAAACCAGGGCCGATTGGGAAATGGAGGGGGAGGGAGAGAAGACGGAGGAGACGGAAAAGAGGAGACGGAACGACTTGGGATTGGTGTGTGGGAGGAGGTGGCGGTTCAGGCCGGCTGGGCCCAGCCGCGGCTGCGGCTACACCTGGGACGGGGGGGAGGAAGAAGTGGGAGGACGATGATGAGGGCCAAAAAGGAGCGAGCTTGGTGGAGTTGAGGCACGTGTGTTGTACTTTTAACAGTGATTCTTGGTGGATAATGGAGGACAACGACCTGGTGTTATGCGGCATTGGATACGCTCGGCACCTGTCGTAGGCGTCCTAACGTGCCGAAAACGCCGCGTTCGCGGGGCTCCATGATTGATGTGCTTATCTTGAAAGACTTTATATGTAGAATTTTGTTGTAATTTCGCGCCAAACGGAGATGATGGGCTGAACTTTAGCGAGGTGAACCAATCCTCACTAATTGCCTGATTATGGATCAAGATACCTACAGAGGCGCCCTCCGTCGTTGATTTTTTCTAACACTGTTTTAATGAGAGCACATTGCTAAGCAAAGCACTGGCTGAGTATCGTCAGGCCTAGAATGAGGGCCCTGAAAAGGCATGAACACAGCTCACAAAACCTTGTGAAAAATGGAACACGGGTAAAAAGAACACGAGCCAAACATGAAACCTAGCCCTGGAGTATATTTCCAAAGAAAGTACTTCACCATTGATACCATGCTCGTACAAACATAACGGAATCACTCAGGACAGAATATAGTACATTGGAGTTGCTGATCCGCCTTCACAATTTTGGTTACACGCTGCCAGGCTGCTCTTGTGCACAAGGTGGGCACAGATGGGTGGCCCTCCCTAACGGTCGAGGTCAAACATAAAGGTACGAAAGCATATCCTGTCGAATGCTCTTTGCAGCCTCGAGATTGCAACGTGTGGCCAAATTTTTAAATTTGACAAAGATTCAATCACAGTTCCAATGATTAGCCAGCCCATGCGCTGTAGCGCTGACACTGGCCTCGCGGAACCGAGGCCGAGGTAGCACGTGATGTAAGGACAAGGCCTGGGATCACCACTAACGCGAAAGCGGCCCCGATGCTGGTCTTGCTCCAAGCCGCTTGTGTGGTCCTAATTTCGGCATTCCGGTGATCGGCTCGACCAGTGGGTGTTGTAACCGTCGTTTGAGCTACGGAGGACGCCGGGAGTATTGCGGTTTGGCAATTGGGGAAATGTAGCTGGCTGCCAATCTGATCATTCCTTGTCCTGGAATCTCCTCGTGCAAGTCATGAAACTACCGCTATAGGACCTAAGTAGTGTTGGTCCCTCTCCCGGTTGCGAGGCGGTCATGCATAATTAGGAAAATATCCAATCGCCATATCCAGGTGATATTCAGTTGATATCCAGCTGATATCCATCTAGGGCAGCTTATCATGGCATAGAATAGCTGTCAGGGGCCCCGCGACGACCCTGGATTCCCATGGCACGCAGCCACATAACTCAAGCATCGATTGCAAGCTTATAGTGTCGGAAACCTTACAAAGATTGAATTATAATCCTCGCAAACTGAACGCTCTATGCCAACTGCGATCGTCTTTCGACAACGTATGCAACTCATTTTCCCTTACACTTGAACGTTTCGGCGGTCGCCACTTTTTTTGCTGGACGTCCTTGGAGTGTTTCACGTTAACTTTAGCGTACTGCATTCGTCGGCCCATTCGTCCTGTTTAGTTAGTCAGTGACTTGCGCCGCCGGGCGGAGCTTTTCGCCTGAGCTTTTAGCTCAAGCTGCGATACGGTTTAATCCTTACTTGACATAGCTCACAGGATTTGACTGTACTAAGCTTTTACCTTGCTTAGGCTGGAAGATCCGCCATGGGAAGGTGACCCGTAACACCAGTTCACGCCGATCTAGCTAGTAACTCTTCCTCAGTTCCTCTAGAATGTCATCCGCTGATTCCGGCAGCGATCCTGCAGCTGCGACACCGGCTGTCGGAAGCGTCGGCGCGATGCCAAAATTGCCACCGCGGCCCAATGCGCCAAAGCAGCAGCCACCCATAGCGCAGCTTCCAGGCGGCAATCTCAACTCAAACTGCAGCGACGGCGGTGGGACCTCAGCCACGCCCACCAGCTCTTCCCCATCCACCAGCACACCATCTCCTCTTCCCCCTCCCTTACAGCAGCAGCAGCAGCAGCAGGACCCCGTTGCTAGCGCCATCGGGCACCCGGGTAGCACCTCCCGACCTTCGACAGGGCCCTCCTTGCCCCCCCGGACCGCTACCGCGCGCCGCAAGAGCATCGGCACCCCCCACCCTACCGCCGTCGATGGCGCCGGCGGCAGCGACACTTCTCCGGGACCCAGCGGGGCGGCCCTGGCGGCTAAAACTCCTCTTGGAACCATAACGGGAAGCAACAACAACAGCAGCAGCGGCGGCGGCGGCGGCGGCAGTAGCGGCGTCGTTGTATCTGCTACGAAAGTGGCGGCGGCGGCCACGGCAGCAACGGCACCGACCTTGTCTTCATCTGGTAGTGGTGGCGGCAGTAGTGGCGCTGCTGGTGCAGGTGCAGGTGCTGTCGGCGCTCGTAAAGGCGCCATCATGGGCGGGTTGTCCAAGTTGCCTCCCCGCCCCGGCCCCGCTCCCGCGCACGGCCCCGTGCTGGACCCTGACGAGCCGGAGTCGGTGGCGGAGGTGAGGGGGAGGAAGAGGAGGAAGAAGAAGAGGAGGAGGAAGAAGGGGGAGGGGGTGAGAGAGTCAGATAATGATGCACGAAACAAGGAAAGAAGGAAAGGTCTGTCGGTACTGGTATTGGTGTGGAAAAAGGGGGAGGAGCAGGAGAAGTTATGTTTGAAATGAAATGAAGAGATATGTGCATTTGCACGACACAAAACACCTGTGGCAGCGTCTCCACCGGGGGTGGTAGGAGGTGGTGTGCGCGAGCAGGGAGGACGTGGGGGGGGGGTGAGGCGGGAATGGCGGGCAAGGCAGCAGCGTGCGGGTCGGCAGTTTTTTTCAAGTGGGTCGGCAGTTGCATGGCAACTGACAACCGCCACTTCCCCCCGCGCAAACCACCAACCACCACCAACCACACCCGCCGTTCGTTCCTTCCTATTATGTGCTCTACCACTACCTCCAAACCACCAACCAACCCAGCCAGAAACCAACTCCAGCACATACATACATACATACATACATACATACATACATACATACATACATACATACATACATGGTATACCCTACATCGCAGGTCCGCCGGTCAATCCATGCCGTACGAGTTCAGATGATCGCTGCAGCTCTGCGGTTGGGTTACGACCATGAGAACGCGCTGGTCAAACAGGTATAGCACACGTGGCCGTTGGGAGTTGGTGGATTGGATTTTTCCATCCTTTGCCTCAGGTCGCCTCAACAAGGTTTGAAAGGCTTCTCAGCGCCCCTGTCCACCATTAAACCACCAAAACTCTAAAACACAATAAAAACCCGTTAAAACCCTAAACTAAAACCCGAATTAAAACCCTCCAGGTGCTGTACCGCCTGGCCCTAGCTGAGCGGCTCAAGGCGCCGTGGCGGCGACCCGGCAAGAGACCGGACCCGGTGGCGGCGGCGGCGAGGGAAGCAGCGCGTCGTACAGAGGAGGCCCTCCAGGGCGGATCTGGATCCGGATTTGGGTCAGGAGGGGGAGCGGCGGCGGCAGCAGCAGGGGCTCCGAGTGGCTCCGAAACCCGGCAACAGCAGCCCCAGGAACCGCCCCCACTGGGTTTCACAGTCAAGATTATGTTGATTGGGCTCCTGGGTGGGTGAAGTTCTCCCGGGAAAAAGGGAGGAGAGGGGAGAACGGGGGGGGGGGAAAGGTCTCTGGTGCAAAAGATTACAAGCATGGAAAAACCGCCGGCTCAGGTCTAGGGGTTAAAAGATCTACATGTTGAAGAAATATGGCTCATTTCGGGCTTTTGAATTCATTTAAGCTAGTTACGCTTTTACGGTTTTTTTAGATGTGTACGGCTCACCAGCATCAGCCTTTCGGGCCGCATCCATTCAAACCCATGTAACCATATAGGCTACATTTCCCCCCCTT